ATGCTGGGTGACCAGCTACACCGGCACTAGACTAACATAAACCAGCTTAGACCAGCATGGAATTCATGCTTGTCCATGCATTTTGTTTTTCACTTCTGATTGGACACTTGACATTTGGTTATCTTAAGTTATCTTGTGAAACAACCCCCTGCAGCCTTGTGTATCCTTCATCTATCTTTCCTTGTTCAGCCTCTTTCAACTGCTCTAACTCATTTCCACTCATGTAATTGTATGCGGTCATTGAAAATCCATTCCATTTACACTCGTGTTGAATGTGGTCAAGATCCGTTTCTGACCACCTCTGAATGTGGTTTGACTGATCTGATCGTAATCCAATCACAACGCGTCCTGGGCGTGTTTACACCTGGCTTTTCATGCGGTCAAGTGAAATCGGAACACCAATCCGATCATCAAAAATGCGTGTTAATGCAAGCTGTCAACAGGCTCATAAAGGCACAATAACAAAAACAACGTTTTTAATTGTAAGTAGTAAGGAGAGCAATACATGCAAGAAAAACGAGGAATATAGGCCCTTTGCTGCATTTATATTGTATGATGTGCCGACCATCATATCTTGATTTTCACAGTGATTCAGATTCCACAGTCATACTCATGTATCAAACCAAGACAGCAAATTATCATCTGCATCTGTTTTGATTAACATCATACATTTTATTGGAGTCACGAGACAATATGCAGCATACAGTCCGATAAAATCTGTTGTAAGAGGACCTGACCTTAAACTGAACCTACAGTTCTCACACACTTCATTTACAGACTGGCAGACTGACAACTATTGTCCTTGAGTTAATGTCAGTTAATACCATCAACTTTTATCGAATATTTATTGTGGTCAAGGATCAAGTAATAGAACACTAATTATATGACTAACATAGGACTGAGGGCGATGATTCATCCATTCGAGCACACATTATTTAAAGGAAAAAGGCCTAGGTTGTTCATAATGTTAGAGAGAGGTCAGTTTGAAAGGATTTTACCAGTTCATTTGTAGATGCTAAATAAGACACAGGAGGATGTGTGTTGATCTTAGCACGGATAAGGAGTGTTGTTAGTCACAATGCAAATCATTGTTTTGTAAAGCAGATACAAAGTATAAAGGACACAAAAATATGCCACAATTCAGTAAATAATGTATTACTGATAATAACCACAATAAGTATTTATTCTGGCAAGCAATGTGCTTTGTTAATGGTAAGCTATGGTTGCCAAGTAACATAACATAACATCAATACCCTGGGCATTAATATAAAATTTAATGGATGTGTGCAATCAAATATGTGTAAACTGAGTATTTAAAAATGTGGATCAGCCAGTCAGATTTATAATGCAGGACTAACCTATTAATGCCCATATCTGAAATTTTCCTTTGGTCTATCATTTCAATAATTCAAATTTGAGCAAAATCTTTAGGAAAGTGGTATCTAGGACTCCATGACTATCTTAATGGTTTTAAAGAAGTGTATTAATTTGTTTTTTTGAGCTCATCACGGCACAGAGACAGCTTTACTTGAAATAATTCAAGACGGGTAGCTTATTCATATAGGTTCTTTTAGATCTTAGTGTGGCGTTTGATACAGTCGACCACAAAATATTACTTGCTCAACTCCAAAACTGGATGGTCTCGGGATCTGTTTTAAAATGGTTTCAGTCTTATTTTAGAGGATGTTAATACTATGTTGTGCTTGGTACCTGATCTTCTAAGCACTGCCCCCAGTCTTGCGGAGTTCCCCAGGGATCTGTTTTGGGGCCAATACTCTTTAATCTCTATATTCTTCCATTAGCCAATTTAATTAATAAATATAACATTTCCTTCCATCCATCTTTATATGACTCTGTGTCCTGACCCTTAGGATTTAGATATACTTGATCTGTATTTGACTGCTTAAATGACATCTTAAATCTTAAATTATTGTTAATTTTCTGCAACTAAACAAAGATAAAACAGAAATCCTTGTTATTGGTAATAAAGATCGGAGAAAGCTGTGTCGGCCTATTTAGAGTCTCTGCTAACATTAAAAACTGTGCCAATCATAGCAGTGCTTTGCATCAATGAGACTGTGTGTCCTTGTTAATAAAATGATAGAAAACTTATTTTGATTGTAAATAAAATATAAAATATGTAATTAAAAAAAAACAAATAAATACTGTTAGATGTTTACTTAAGGTATATTTAGATAAACTTTAGACCAATTAGCACAAGTCCTGTAGCATTTTTCTTTATCATACTAAACACAGCCCAGAATTGGGTTACAAACAATCAATGAAAATTTCAGATTCCGTCTGCAAGTGTTAATAAATGATCAAAGTAGTTCCCTTTAAGACAGAACTCTCTTAATGCCACGTTTGGGATTCAAGCAGCATGCAGGCCACTTCATTAGCACGAAACAGACAGTAGGGGTCTCTGTGTGACTAGTATAGACTCCCTCCTGCAGTGCACCACTGCAGACTGCTTCATTCCCATTCCTCCCTGAACAGCTCATTAATCTTATTGATCGCACCTCATCAGCTTAAGCAGGAGGTCCTCAGCGCTTTATTTGGGCAGGTCAGGAGACAAACACTGTGTTGAAGTTTGGAAAAAGGAGGGTGTCCCCACAGCCAGGACTCTGCATGGTATTTTCTTAAGGCTGTCTTTTTGTAGGGGGAGGTACTTCTGCAGTGTAATAAAGTACAGGAATGAGGGTCCGGCTGATGGTCACTGAGAGGAAAGAGCAGCAGTGCGAATTTACAGTGCTGAGCGAATTACACTGAGAGAGCAGAACAGCACTAAGCTGCAGCAATGCGGGCTGGGTCAAGGTCACCGGCTTGGTGTCGAGGGGAACAGCATAGGGCATGTAAACTAGAGGAAGGTTGCCTGAGGGAAATGGGATAAAGTAACAGACAGGAAATGGAGTAGGGTTACACACAGGAAAGGGGTCTATAACAATGCCATTTAAGCAATAAGTACTGCTTATCAAGAGCAAACAGCAAAAACAGCAGGATAACAGCTACGCTTTTATCCCTAAACACTCATACTTACACTATTTTATCTCCAGCATGGTAACTTTATAGGAGAAGGAATGAATGTTCTTAGTGTTAATGTGTGTTAGTATAATGAGGTTTTATCACAAGTAATGGACCATTTCTACTGGTCCATTCATCTTGATATGTTAGGCAGCATAAATAGTAGCTGACTCAAATGGTGTTAAAAATAATGGGAAAAAAATGCTAACACGAGTGTTATAAATTAGTTATAAATTAGTTAATTACTGTGTAAATGTTTCAGTACTGAGCAAAAGTGCACAAGGCCACCATGCACAATATATTTTCTTTCAAAGTCAAAAGCAAAAAACATAAATTTAACAGAAAATTAGATTAGTTAGGAGCAGGGGTGCTCAATCCTGGTCCTGCAGATCTACCACCCTGCAGAGTTTAGATCCAAACCCAAATCTAACACACCTGATCCAGGTAATGAAGGCCTTCAGGGGCATCTGAATGTTAGAGCCAGGCGTGTTGGATCTGAACTATCCAGGGTTGTAGATCTCCAGGACCAGGATTGGGCACCTCTGGATAGAAGCATCAATAGCTAAAAATAAAATAAAACAGTAAGTGTTTATTGTGCCCACTCTTTGCCTTTATTACAGCTTCCATTCTTTTCAGGAGTCCAAGTAATCTCAAACACGTTCAATGATACTGAGGTCTGGACTCTGGAGTGGTCAGTCCATTGATCACCAGCAGCTTATTTTCTCAGTACAAGCTTTTTGACCGCTACATGTCTTTTTAGACCCATAGCATTGAGTTGTCTTCTCACAGTGGAAGGATGGACAGAAATTCCTGTGGATTTTTTTTCAGATCTCAGATCAGTAGAGCTTGATTTTCACCTCTCTCTCAAAGATAAAAGCTTAAAGCACTGTTTATCTGTGGGTGACAGTTTTGGTGGTTAACCAGGTCTTGCATAGTTGTTAGGAGTCTGTTTTGACTGGAAATTTGGTTGTTAGGAGTCTGTTTTGACTGGAAATTTAAAAATGAGGGAAGGTCTTGACTTTTGCACGGTACTATATCGCTGTTGTCGGAACAAACCTTCTATCTTCATTTTTAACACTTTTCAGTTTTTGACATAATTCGGAAATGCCTGTTGCTCTTTCCATAAATTTCATGATGAATGGACAAAAACAAATGAGCTAAAATTACTTGAAAAAAAGTCTGGTTCCATCGACTGACATTAGCAGTGAAGGGTTTTTTTTTCCTTCTCCTGTAAAGTTACCGTTTTGGAGATATGAGGTTTTATTCTGACAACAGCGATATACTGATCTACAACAGCCGAGGCAGATTTATCAATTTTTGGTGACAAAAATGGGTCATTCCAAGCATATACTTGTCATGTCATGCTACAACATTCATTTCCACCCACTTAATAAGCTCTTGTTACAGAGCAGTCATAAGACTTGCTTGTCAACAGCTGCTGCCTAAGGGTTTGCGACAGTGTAAATAATCTAGTCAGCTTTGGAACACCCTCCTGCCTCCTCTTGCACATTTAGTCATGTTTCAAACACACACTTCCCCTTCTCACTCCAACATCACGCCCCTCAGCACAACTCATGCTTCCAGTGCGGCTTCTCTAAGAGCTAAAAGCACCAATGCAAAGCTGCCAAGTCTTCCTGTATTCTGTCTGTATTAGGGCCCTATTGACAGAACATCTCTCACTGCGCAATTAAATATTTACCGTTTGTCTGTTTTAGCTAAAGCCCACTCAAAATACTCTAACGCCAAGAGAGCTGCACTCACTTGGCTTCATATGATACACAGAGACAGTGACTGGCCTAAAAGAGATTTGTTAAAAAGGAGCAGACTTTGGAGCGGACTAGTGGTGGACGAAATTAAGTCGGAGCCACTAAAGGGCATCATGAATATTCAGATGAAGCTGACCATCATATCAGCACAGTCTCCTCAGAGCCATGGGCTAGAAGCAAAGAATGAAAGAAAGTTGCAGTGATTCCAAGAAATAAATCTATAGATCAGTGTCATTTTACTGAAACCAAACCATGAAGTTCATAAAATGCATCTTTGTGTCCAATACAGTACAAGCGCACTGTGTAAAAGGCACAAATTCCCCTTTTTGACTCTATTTTTAGTGTGAAAGCTGTGAGTTTGACCTAAATTCAGATACCAGATACTCAAGTAAAAAGACAGGCGACCTAAAACAAGATAATGTACATTTCATCAGACTACAATATGCTACAGTATACCCTGTGTATGAGATAATACGGTATAAAATAGTAAGAAAAAGAAAATATATTACAGTTAAAGGGCCCATATCCTAGAGAACGACCTTGCTTTATGAAATAAATGAGTTTGTTATAGAATGTAAACACTGTTAAAGTCCATATATGCAGCAGCCTGTTATAAATTCACTGTTTTTGTGATGTCACAAAAAATCCACACATTTACATGCATTCAGCCTACAACCGATTAGCCCATTCACATTGAAGTTATAAGGAGTGTTTCATTCCAGACTGCTTTTTAAATAAAGCACAATATAGGGCAGCCAATCAGAAAAGAGCGAATCATATACAGTGTTCTCCACAAATATTGGCACCCCTGGTAAACATGAGCAAAACAGGCTGTAAAAACATTCGTTATTGCTTATTCTGTTGAGCTTTCATTCAACTTTTTTGAAGTACAATGATTGAAAAAAAAACTAAATCTTATCAGGAAATAAATATTTTTCTTAAATCTGTGCCATAATTATTGGCACCCCTTTATTTAATACTTTGTGCAGCCTTCCTCTGTAAAGGTAACAGCTCTGAGTCTTTGCCTATAAAAGCTTAATGAGACTGGAGAACACATGGCAAAGAATCTGAGCCCATTCCTCCATATAGAATCCTTCAGATCCTGAGGTCTACACTGTGGATGCTGTAGATGAGGTTTAGGTCTTAGGGGACTGGAGTGACCATGGCAAAATCTTCATTCTGTGGTCACTGAAGCATTTTGATGTTGATTTTGAGGTCTGCTTTGGATCACTGTCCTGCTGGAAGATCCAAACTATGGCCGAGTTTGAGCTTCCTGGCTGGCTTCTTTACAGCGAATGCTTTCTTCCGGCAACCCCCCAAACAACTTGTGGTCATATAGTTGGTGTTTGACGTTCTGACCTCAAGACCTATGGGCATTTCCAACTGTTTAGCTATTTTCTTGCAGTCATTTCTAATTTATGCAGCTCAACAACCTTTTGTCGCAGATCACTGCTGTATCCTCTGGTCTTTCTCATAATGATGGATGACTGAAGGAATTTGGCCTGTGTTTCATCTCATATATATTCCCTGTTTTTAATAACTGTAAAACACAAAATATGAATGGGAATATACTTCAGTTACATTTCACTCTTAAGAATTTCTAGGGGTAATTGTTGGACACACTCATTTAAGAAAAATATTTTCATGACAAGATTTAGTTTTTTTTCAATCATTACACCTTAGATAAAGGTTAGAATTTGCTAATATTTTGAATGAAAGATCAAAAATGAAAGAGAAAGAATATTTTGTACAGCTCATTTTGCTCATGATTATCAGGGTGCCAATTTTTGTGGAGGGAAAGATATATATGTAATATGTCTAAAGGCACAATAACAAAAACAGCTGTTTTTGATAGATGTCATTATAAATTATGATTGGTTTTGGTACATAAGCACAAATAAATGTCATAAATGGACCATAAATGTGAAAAAAATAAATACTAGAAAAATGTAGGATATGGGCCGTTAAAAATGAAGACGTGCTGCACATCCAACCTTACTGAAAATATAACACCTTTCCGCTGTACGCAGCCTTGCATACAAGAAAAATGTGCACAGTAAGGGAAAGTGATGAAAATGATGCAGTGTGTAAACAAAGACTTTACAGCACATTTGGTGTTTTGGTCACTAAATTATGAATGACCTCTGAATCCTTGTGTCCCTGAGCCAGAGATTTCATTTCCACAGAAAATGAACAGGAAAAACACATCTGTGCCAGCAGCATAGCAGCGTACAAAACACAGTGGAGTTGCTCTCTCTTAAAGTGCAGAGCTACGTCGCTAATATAAAGTGCACTTGGGCTCTGGGGCCTGAAGCATGTGACTGCAGTCTTCTTTAATCCTCGAAGGCACTTGCTAAAATGAAAGGAGAGCTGGAGTCTTTGGCACTCCTTACACACAGATTCATACGTTCACCTGCAAACTCGCTCGCACTCTCTCTCCCCCCTGCAAGCACAAAGAACTGATGTCATCACTCCACAGATCAGCACCTCCACTGCAAAAGGGCACTGTCTTAACGGAGTGCTCCGCTCGGTTAAGTGTAGCATTCTGGCCGAGGCAGTGAAGGTCAATGAGGCAAAGGGGCTTCTGTTTTAAAGTTTAATCCTCTTCTTCAACCTCCTTCTCCCAGGCGCGGGGGCTGTTGGCCCTGTCCGTGTTAGTATGGGCCGTGCGCTGGGACAGCGTGTCCGAGCTGCTCTGGGTTCCGCGGTCTCGGCAGCAGAGCAGAGCGACCAGTCTTGCGCGCACTGGCCGAGTGCACAGCACAAACATGATGCAGTTCGCAGCTCCCTGAAAAGTGTTCCCGATTCCCTGCACAAACAAAATGCAAGGTAGAGATGGCATGATTTTACTTTTCATTTTGCAAACTTGAATATGAGTTGATATCTATAACAATCTAATAATTATTTTTCTTCAAAGACTAATAAGCTGTAAAACGGGCTGTTCTTCATTGAAGCACTTCGTTTAAGATCTTTACACGGCCACCTAAAAGTAACACACATTTAAACAGTAAGACATCCTACAAGAACATATTAACAAAGTATGGTGTGTATAAAACATACAAAGGCCTCAACATGGTCAGTGTCATAAATTTGCTTAAAATTGAGTACTGACCTTGAAATACTACAAAATCTTGAATTTTTTCATTTTACTTGTCCTAACCTGTTTTCATTTTTTTTAAATGATGAAGTGTTTTGTTTAAATGAGAAAAAAATATCGATCAGGCATAACATTATGACCACCTCCTTGTTTCTACGCTCCCTGTCCATTTTATCAGCTCCACTTACTATATAGGTGCACTTTGTAGTTCTACAGTTACAGACTGTAGTCCATCTGTTTCTCTGCATACTTTTTTAGCCCCCTTTTACCCTGTTCTTCAGTGGTCAGGACCCCTACGGCTGTGTCTGATCCACTCAGATCACCGCAACACACACTAACACCACCACCACCATGTCAGTGTTATTGCAGCGCTGAGAATGATCCACCACCCAAATAGTACCTGCTCTGTGAGGGTCCATGAGGGTCCTGACCACTGAAGAACAGGGTAAAAGGGGTCAAACAAAGTGTGCAGAGAAACAGATGGACTACAGTCTGTAACTGTAGAACTACAAAGTGCACCTATATAGTAAGTGGAGCTGATAAAATGGACAGGGAGCGTAGAAACAAGGAGGTGGTCATAATGTTATCCCTGATCGGTGTATGTATGTGTCGCTGTTTTTGTAAACCCACCTATCTTTTATTGTACATCAGTAGAACATGGTTTGATGAAGTTAAATCACATGTGCTGGTGATGTAATGTAAAATTCAATGCAATGGTTGTCACCATTGGGAACTGGAACCACCAAGTTTTGGTTGTTGTTCTTCTAACTGGCTCTTATAAAGGACTTATTTAAAAACAAAAAAGCTTTGTTACTTTTTCCTGTATTCATGTTTATTTGTACTTAAGTTACTGTTACATAGTTACTACTGAGAGAAATGGTTTTGATTAGGACTTTGATTAAGACTCCTGCACAGTACTATATAATAATGATTGCTAAATAAGATGCAAATAAATTAAATAAAACATTTTAGTTCCAGTACAATATTATAATAATTGTTCTTAGGCTAACATTAGGCTACATGTGGCTACTAGTGGCCAAGTTTGGGTATTATGCAATATGACAAAATAAGTGAGTGTGAGGACCTTCAGGCCTGTCAAATATAAAGCAGTTCTCTACTGCTTTAATGGATGAGCCTCTCCTGAAACACTGTTGTCCTGTGGCTGTTTTGTTATGGTGCACTACAAGCAGTTCTAGGCAAGATTTGTTACAGAATTGGATTCATTATTTTCCTCTATGATACCCGATTCAGCACTTTCTGCTCAGACTGATACTGGCTCTGGTCGGCAGCATTGCTATACCAAGCGTTCATAACTCCGGTCCTGCACTGATAATATTCCCTGCCTCATCACATCTAAACCAGCTCATGGAGGGCTTGATAATCTTGAAGAAGTGGATCAGGTGTGTTGAGATAGGGAGCAGATGAAACTGTGCAGGGCAGTAGATCTCCAGGACTGCAGCTGAGAACCACTGGCTGACAGCATTGCCAATAAAAACAATAAAGCCACATTATAACATCTGACTTTGATGGAGCACACAAATAAACCCTATTACACACCACGGATGGCAGGAGAATGAGGCGTTTAGATGTAAGTAAGCTAATTTAGATGGAACTAAAAGGATTTGGTGAAGCTAGAAGTCTCACTCACATGTAAAGTAACAAGCACAGGGTTCTGTCTGGCAGGTGAGTTGGCGAGCATAAGCAGGAAGCGGATGGTGCTCCAGATGCGCAGGACGATGAAGATGATGGGAATGAGGGTGAGCTTTCTGTCCGCCATTGTGGACAGCGATTGGGACGTGGGGCTAGTGGCCAAGATGGGCCGGTATTCTGAAAGGGCCTCATGCTGGAATGGGGAGAATGGAGAAAATGTGAAGAAGAAATGAGAATGAACACCTGCACAGCTGCTGTGACAGCAATCAAATAACAGCCTGCCACTGAAGCATGTTTAAAGGGGAACTCCAGCGTTTTTCCAAAATTCGATCTTCAAGATGTGATTTCTTTACAGTGGTGTTGACAGAAACCAGAAGTTGTCTACAATACAGCCATCTTATTTACTGTCCAAAACCTCCAGTAAACCTACATGTATCTTCTGAGTTTTATATAGAATGTTGACATTGATATTTGGGTACTATGGCTTTTAAAATGCATATCAATCAAAATCTTATTTCAAAACTATCGTAAACAATGTCTCAGGCATCAGGAACCATATTCATACTTATTTTGTGTAATGGTTTTCTGTGAAATAACTTTTAGATGCATTAAGTGCTTCTGACATTCACTGTTATAAACAATTCTGACTTGCTAAAGTGTATTTCCCATCAAACCACCGAGAACAACTTTGTTTACAACTTAACTATTTAATGATGCAGAAATTATGAAAAATTGGTGGAATTCCCCTTTCAGTTTAAATGAACCAATTATGTGACAAGAACATAAAGACAGATTTAGCATTTACTGTACTATACTGTTCACTAAAGATCAAAATACAGCAACTGAGATGAACGACACAAAGCCTAGGTCCTTATATCATTGCTGTCAGAACAAAACCTCCAATCTCCAAAAGCGGTAACTTTAGAAGAGAAGGAAAATGTGCTTAAATTTAACTTAATGTATGCTAATATAAAATTTTATTACAAGCAACTTTGGATCATTTATACTGCTCCATTCATCATGAAATGTTCAGACAGCGTAAAGGGCAGCTGTCATTTTTAAGTGGTGTAAAAAAAATGATGCAAAATAAAAAACATAAACTGGAGTTATGAGGATTTCAAATGACAGCAATGATGTTTTCCCTGTAAACTCCATTCATGCTATAAGAAGAATATAATAAGACAGATCTCCCAGATCTTGGAGTTAAGAGCCACCACTGAAACTAGCTACAGTAAATAATGAATTGTGTTCACTTGACCAAGAATTAAACGCTTTGCTGCAGCACATCCAGAAATAAAGTAATTCAATAGAGGCATATCTACAATCTGAAAATCCTACCAGCCACACACTGTGTGATTTTCACCCTGAAAACACAAGCAGAGACAAACAGAGGAGGCTTACTGCTTTGTGGATGTGCCTCTTGATGAGGATGTAAAGGACGGGCAGGGTGACATATGCGAGGAACTCCCATATCTTGCCTGTCAGCAACATCCACAGCACATGATCTTCTTCCTGAATGCTTACCCAGCACCAGCCTACAGAAACCTCAGATGCATCGTAGCCAATTTTCTGCAGGGCCAGAGCTGCTACTGTGATGGACAGAGGAACACCCCAGCTGAAACCGAACCATAACAGAGGATTAGGGGACTTTGCATAGCATCAGCAGACAAAACAGGCTTTTTAGTGCGTTTAATATGGCAACTGATTCTTCAGGTTCTGTTATGAAACAGCCAGAGCACTTCCTTGAGATGAAGTGTCAAATATCAACAAGACATTGGGGTCAAAATATGAAACAGTAAATGAATTTCAATGGAATTAACCCATTTATGTTGATCAACTACATTTAATATGATGCTACGGAGCTTCTTCTGGTTGGTCTGAAGTGATGAAATCGTGTAGTTATACCTTCGATGAACCTCTAACATGATTACATGTAAATTAAATACTTTTATTCAAGATTAAATTTGGGTTTTCTATTACACTGTTAAAAATCAGGGCCTCAAAAGACCAAAAGACAATAAGTTATGTGATTAAAAACTCATTTTTTTGCCATATGGCTTGATCAGATTGAAAGATTTCTGCAGATTTGTGATCAGACAACCTCAGAGAACATACAGGCCAATGAAAATGGAAAATTCATGTGCTATAATGGACTAAAGTGGATCACAAGACATCAAGAGAACATAAAACAAGTGAACTACAGCAGAGTGAACTTTTCAAGCTTGAACCTGCAATCTGACTGAGCACATGAATGACTTCCACTGTCTCCGCATGAGAATAATTTACCTGATCAGATGAAAATACAACACCAAGCTGTCAGCCAGCCTCTGACTGGACTTCACGATGAATATGTATAAGTAAATGGCAATGGCCACTGTCCAGAAGAAAGAACTGGTGTTAGCAAAAGTGGATATTGCTCCCTGCGCAATGCAATCCTGCGTGTTGGAGTTAAAAACCTTCAAAACTCCATAAAAGTAGGAGAGAGCAGAGAGCAGGTCTGCCACAGACAGGAACACTAGGAGTTTTCTGGGGGTCGTTCTGAGGTCCCCCCATGTGGCGTACGTGCATATGATTACGAGTGACCCTAAAAACGAGAGCACGCACGACAGGAGAATAACAACCTGCTCGTAAACATACACTTCGGTCTGGTTCCCATCCGCCATACTTTCTCCACACAAGGAGAACAAACACACGTGACGAGTCTTCCTGGCGAGATTTGCTCAAGTTAAACTTCCCACTAACTCACTCCTTAAACTGAGGGCTAAATCCGAGGCTGGACTACCGAAGACTTTCATTCCGCTTCGCTCGTTTTCTCCTCCAGCCTGCAAACCAGTCGGGCTTTAAGATCCAGCGGAGCAGAGACGACAGCAGCCGTCGAGATTTCAAGAAGCTCTCCAAGCGTGAAAGTAGGCAAACAAAGCGGCGGAGAAGTTTCCCTCAGACTTCAGACAACAACAGACTCACTTCAGCAAAGTTTCACCACTTCTCAAAAACATGGAGGTGTGATCTCCTGTTATGGCACTTAAACTCCTCCCAGTTTCTCCTCAGGAGAGCGTTCAGCCGGGCTGAAGTTGGCTTCCTATTCGAATTCTTCGGTTCTACCTTAAACGGTGCAGCAGTTAAGTTACATTTTGACGCCTCAGAACAAGAAGATGGCTTCAATTTCGAAACTGAAATACCTCTGAATCACGAGGGCGAGGTTGGCTACTTAGTCGAATCATCCGCTCCACCTTAAACGCCGCAGCATATGCGGTGTGTGGAAGTGCCAGAATCGGGCTGCTCCATCATTTAAGGTGGAACGGGAAAATTCGAACAAGATATGATGAATAAGCTGACCGGCTTCGTCAGCGTTCACTCTTTTATAGAAACTGAAATAACTGAATCACTAGGTTGGCTTCTTATTTGAATTTTCCGTTCCGCCTTAAACGACGCAGCATATGCGGTGCAAAGAAATGCCAGAATCGGACTGCTGCATCTTTTAAGGTGGAACGGGAAAATTCGAATAAGAAGCTGACTTAAGCTTCGTGAGCGTTCACTCCTCTGTGGAAACTGAAATAACTGAATCACACTGTTGGCTTCTTATTCGAATATTCCGTTCCACCTTAAACGGCGCCGCATATACAGCGCGTACTGAAGTGCCAGAATGTATGCATCGTTTAAGGTGGAACGAAAAATTTGACTATGAATCTGGGGTGAGAAGCCAATTCACTCACTCAGTCATTTCTATTTCGTCTTTCTTTGACCGCAAGTGACCTGTGACCTAAACCTGCAGACGTTATAGCAAAACACAGATTAACACACTTTGATATCAGCTAAAATCCCGAATTATAATTCTATGCGGTTTTCCTGATCATACGAGGGAAAAACAAAACACATAAAGCGTTAGACTGCAAGTCAAAAGTGTTCAGCCGTCAAAGTTGGACAACTATGTATTTCCATCGAACGACCGTTAGATGGCGCAACGTGAAGGCTAAAAATCAACACAGCTTGAATCAATGAACTGAACCAATGCGCTTTAAATAACTGAAGCAGAGAAAATGTGTTACTTTTTATATTACTGACGATGTTTCTTTTCTGTTACTGTGCTTAACTACAAAGTAGTAACTGTCCACGCACATAATGTTTCTCTTTAAAAAAGAAAAAAAAAGTCAAGGACTTAGTGAGCAATCATTTGAATGCACCTAAATTTAGAAATATTTGCCTAATTTACACGGAGACTCGCTGGTGATATGTCAGTCCTTCATTCTGGAGGTGTGGCATTCTTTTGTTAACTACTAATAATAATTTTGTTCAGAATATTAAGGAGGCAGCACTGTTTCTGATAATGTATAAACAAAGATGGGGCAGTTACATATAAACCAGTTCTATTATGATGCTAGTACCATGCAGCTTCAAGGCTTTCAAATAATTTGCGGGCAACTGCTAAAATAAACATATATAAACTGTGTACAGGATGATGAACAGAGCTGTAAATGATTCTGAAATGATTGAGGAAGTTTCTTTTTTATTGTGCAGGATCAGATTACGAGGATCTGGTGCCGCTGAACATTAAAGTTATGGTGCCCTGTTCCCACAAACTCTGAAACACCCCTTTTCTAATTCACACAAACCTTACATTGATAATAATGTAAGATGAGACGAGGTATGAGACCCAGAAGAATTGTATCATAGAGCGTTTATACCTGTGATATCGTTAAAATACTGAGCCAAGAACTTAATGTACCAAGAAACAACATGGGTGTTTGAAAATCATTCAGTGTGTAATATGTAGCCTCGTCCTCTTAATGTATTTATTTTTCATTAGCTGGAAGACAAAAGTTATTGCATCATTTAACATCATGAGTAAAACAAGAAAACTGAAAAAAAAAGATAACTATTCAGCATAAAGAGCACACAAGCCTCAGTCTTTGCAGAGCTCTGGGATACTGCAGGAAAAATTGACTCATATGAAATGACTAATGTGAGCTCTTTACGTAAGAACTTTTTATCTATCTGTCCGTCTATCTATCTATCTATCTATCTATCTATCTATCTATCTAGATCTAGCCATGGCTTTGTATTTTAAAGCAGCTTTTGGTGTCTGGTTTATTCAGTTATTTAGTAATTTAGTGTAGTAACTGGTAAATACAGTAACAGACCTGTTAATGTGACAAGCATTTCTAATATGAAAACTTTAATGAGTGGTAGTGTATAAAGAGGCATGCAGGCCTGCAGTCAGGTTAAACCAGAATATAATAGTCCCCTGAGTACAATAACCCAGGTATTGTGAGCATTTAAAAAACACTTCATAAATAATAGAAATGAGCATAATGAAACTCTTGAGTAGGCTCTGGATTGGAAATAAAGAGGATTAAATAACATTATCGTTATTGTTTTAGACAATCAGTCAGAATCCTTTCTTGGCCTATGGGAGGAAAAGCCAGTTTGCTGGTTTCCAATTGCCGGAACATTGATTTTGCAGTTTTGCTGATGCATTGGAGGGGAAAACTCTCCTCATGTCGTTAGCTACAGTACAATGCAGTCTCTCAGCTCACACACAGCTGCGGTACATCGTGCTCTGCTCTGCAGCAAATGCATCATCAGAGATGGTCAGAGATGATGCATTTACTGCAGAGCACAGCACGACGGAGCTCTGCAGCTGTGTGCGAGCTGAGATACTGCACCGCATCCCAGATCTCCTCAGTCTCTGTGACTGTGGAGAGTCTTACACTTGTAAATCTTACTGTAGCTGTGGTTTGCATTTCCAGTGTAAAGCCTCTGTACATCTGCCCTGATGCTGCCTTCACCTGATACAAGCTCTCCATCGTACCCTTTAACAGCCTAACACAAAAACATTGCTATGTGCAGAATTGTGCGTACCATTGAATCGAGGAGGAAAACAGCCTACTGCTGCTGGACGTGCTCTCTTTCTGGTGTAGCTCTTCTACTAAGAGCAACTGTAACATAGTATGTAGGACAATAGCCATGTACTGAGAGAACATTGTGCTGCATTAATTGACTTATTAAGTCAGATGCTATTAAAAATGACTTGAAAATACCAATTACTCTATAAAAATGTTGTTACAGTAGCATCCATTACAAGTAAAAAATTTTTTCTTGTCCTGTAAAGAGGTTTTGTTCCACTCACTGTCTCTTTCTCTCTATAATGTGTGTGTGTGTGTGTGTGTGTGTGTGTGTATTAGAATGTATCATAATAATGTATGCCGGATTAAAAATAAATAGGATGAAATTTAAAATTATATATATAATTTTATATATTTTATATATATATAATATAATTATATGTATATATATATATATATATATATATATATATATATATATAAATGGAATATAGAACATTAGATGTTTCATATGTGATAAAATGTGTGTGTGTGTATGTGTGTGTGTGTGTGTGTGTGTGTGTGTATGTATATATATTTAATTTCTCAGAATTGACTGTAACTCTAAAGTAGCTGTGTTTTATTGTACAGGCTTTATTAACAGAGTGGAGAGAGGGGGTCAGTGAAGTCTAAGTGTACAAGCTCGCATCTTTATATGTAGAAAATTGATCATTTGGGTAAGTACTGTCTATATTCTGATGTCACACTTAGTCAAACAGTTAACATTACGACTGAAAGGCATGTAACTGGGGGTGGGAAGTGTGCTAAAGATCTGAAACCAAAACTGACTTTTTTCCCTTGTTAGCTCACATCCCTGTTCATATTATGCACCATGTATCACACTGCATAATTTGGAAGACTAATTTCTTGTTTTCCCAGCAAAATATATTTACTTTTGCCCACCTCGGAAAGATCTTCTGAGTTTTGATCGTCGCTGTGCAACAAAACAAAGGACAGACAAAAATCATGTTAACCAGTAATGTCATGTTTCCCCCCCACAAAGCCCACTAATCATCGAGCAAAAAATCCTCAGTTAGCTAAGAGACCCTTCTTGATAGGCCTCGAAGTTGCTCTGTAGTTGGCAGCTTGCGTATATGAGGAACTCTAGGTCTAAGCTGGTTTGAGAATGAGATGCATTTTCAAAAATTGATGCTATCAGTGTTTCAAATTCTCAGATATTTTGTCCTATTTACACTTTTTCTCCTGAATGTCATTGGATCCTCTGAATTATGACGTTGTTAAAGAGTAGAAATATGAATAATGCTACATACATGCTAAGAAAACGCTCCTGCACATTGAAATGACGTTGTGTTAAAGAAAGTCTGCTATTAAACTTAAACACCCGCTACTCAAACTGTAGACTAAAAACTGCCACAGCAATTTAACTACCACATTTGACGACATGTATTGGTATGTATGGGGTGTTTCAAGGCTCTAAATAACCTAGCACCTGTGTACCTCACAGAATGTCTGTCTGTTTAAGTCCGAAAACGTGGTCTTAGATTTGCAGATACTGGCCTTTTGCAAACACCTCCTGTAAAATACAGAAAACGTGAGAGACTGTTTCTGTTATTGTGCTTCTAAATTGTGGAACTTACTTCTATCTTTTATTAGACAGTCAAGCTCAGTTCACACATTTAAGAAACATTTGAAAATGTATCTCATTAGCTTAGTGCTTAATTAAAATACTACATCTCTTTGGTATTTATCTGTCATTGTCTTGGATATTACTGTAAAACACTGTTGCCTGTATAGCACTTTGATTTGGCACCAGTATGAAAAGTGCTCTATTACAGTTATTATTCTTATTATGTGGTGAAGGTACCAGTCTTACAATGTCAATTTAATGCATAGCAGTTTTAGCTGACTTGCAGCAATAGTCATATTTAATTCATAATTCAGCAGATCTAATGACATTTGGAGGAATGTTTGACAAAACACATGGATTTTGGAACATTTTAGGCAAGATAGCAACCATTTTCAAGAATGCCATTCATTTCTCTCCATAGGAAAACAAAGGCTGAGTTTTGGAGTTCCTAAACTTCAGAGGCCTTTACTGTGTTTCACTGAGAAACTGGAAAGAAAGAAGGAAAAGGAAAAGGAAGGAAACACGTTATGATTTCCTTGACGCACAAGGAACTTCTTTGGCCTAAGGCGTGCTTCTCTTTTATTTTTTCAGATTCTTGAAATACTTGTTTTCATGCTTTGCCCTCTATTGATCTCATGTAAGTGTAAAGAAGGCATTTCTTTTACTTCTGAAAGTATTCAGTCGGCCGCCACATCCAGTGAATTGGAAAGAAATAGAACAGCATGAATCCATTCAGATTCCCAGTGTACTTTTAATCACTTTGTCTTCTGCCAAATCACGTGTAAATATCAATAAGATGTACTGGGTATTATAATAAGTCAATTTCATGGTTCCTCTGGTTCTATAGAAATGAGCTCACCTTTGTTAAAGGGCTTCTTAAACAAATGAAGTGATAAATGCTCTAAAAGTGAGAGCAATTTAGTCAGCTTTGACACTAATTTGAATTTGAGCTTCCTTGTTTCAAGCACAGACGCATCAAATGATTTCACCATCAAAAGCCCCTCTGACTCACGGCTTCTATTCATACTTGCACAACCTGCTGCTGCAAAGGAAAACAACACAAACACTGAGGAAAATCTGAGGAAATTCCACTTTTACCGCTTACATGAGTGACTGTAAACAACGTTCACAGTTCATATGACATAAGAGAAAATACCCAGTAGTGCCAGTGTCCTTTTTTCAGGTAAAGAAATACTGAAGTTATTGAGGAAAAGAAGAAAATACGGTTCCCTTGAGAAGTTCACTTCATTTTATTAGGTGTTACAGAATCATAAAACTGAATATATCACTCAAACAGGGATTTCACCAGAAATCACTGAGCTGTGTCTCAGCCGGGGAGCTTTTCTCCCCCTGTAGAAAGTGATTCTGTAAAGGAGTGCCCTTAATGTAATCGCACGCACAGAAAGCAGCGCTAGATGGCAGCCACTTTGTTACAGCCTAAGCCGAATCAGTCGACAGCCTGTGAAACTAATGCACGCGTTCAGCACCGGCTCTGCAGTACAGCCACGCTGTCGCTGTCAAACCTGCCATAATAAACTAAATCAACTGCCATTCACTGCCACAGGTGACTGAGGCCTTACTGGTTCATGGTCAAAGAGCCAGAGCTAGCACCATGCGTCGCTGATTTCAAAGGAGAGAACAAATTATGAAGCACTTACAACTGGTGTACATGCAGTTTAACACAACAACAGATCATATCAGCTAAAACAAACAACCAAACCAATCAGAGAACACCCCTCATTTATTTATTCCAGTCAAAACAGCCTTTCAGTACAAGTTATTCATTTTTTCAGGCGATATTTCTCATCAGATAAACAGTACTTATGCTTTCATCTTTGAGAGAGAGGAGAAAATGACGCTGGATCAGATCTGAAAAAATCCACAGGAGTTTCTGTCCATCCTTCCGCTGTGAGAAGACAACTATGAGTCTGAAAGGACGTGCATCTGTCAAGACCGCATAACAGAGAAAATGAATATTGCAAATCAAACAAAGAAGCTGCTGGTGCTCTCAGAATAATGGACTGACCACCCCAGAGTCCAGACCTCAACATCACTGAATGTGTTTCTGATTACTGATGCTAAACCAACTTCTAAGAATGAACTTTGGAAAAAATACCTGCAGATTTCTTTGAAAAACTGAGAGCAAGTTTCCTGAATAGACTGAGAGCTGTAAGAAAGGTGAAGGGTGGACACACTACATACTGAAAAAATGATGTTATATTTAGTTGTTGAGGCTTCCAGTAAATGCTTGAAACTGGAAATGAAATAAACGAAGGGTGGTCTCCGATTTCTGTACAGTACTGTACATTACAGAGTACAGCAGCGCTGGGACAGGAATCGCCAGAACAACAAAGGAACTGAGAAACACATGAAGCGTGTCTAGTCAGAAAAGCTTTAATGCAGAGGATTTATGAAATTAATTTGCTGTTATGTACTTGGTGATGAGGCTGTGAGTGAACAGTAGAGTCATCAGTGAGACACTGATCTGAAGGTGCACCAATTTCAGTTATAATCAATTATAACTCAGTTGATTTTACCTGATTATAATGATACTTTTTGTCAACTTTATTGTTTGTCACAGTATTAATACACAAGAATCCCTGTGATGCACTGAGATAGATATTAATAGAGGGTATTCAAATGCTTGTATAAAAAAGGGGTCGTTCAGTACTATAATATGTTATAGATTAGAGCTTCCCGAGTGCCAAATGTGACCCGTGAGGCCTGACAGAAATTGATCTTACTCCTAGCCCCTCATCCAGTGAGAGAGAACATATTTTAATCCTATATGAAATATATTATGTTCTTACTTTCCTTTAAAATTTATTTTTGAAGTATTTTACTTACAAAATATAGTGTAATATTTCAAAATAAAATTTTAAATAAACTACCCTTCTTTATTTATATACACAGTTGTCTCTTTGGTCGTCAGCCCAGCCTAAGACAAAAAGTTTGGGCAACCCTGGCTCAGATTATAATAATGTTCAGTAAGCCCTCATTTTACATACTCATTTTTTTGTGGCCCAAATAACATTTCATTTTCAAATATAAAAGAAAAAAAAATAATTAATAGTCACTCAAGGTTGATGTACAGATGAAGGTTCAGTTGCATAAACATCTCTCAAAATAAGAGTTTTTATATGTTTAACTATATATTTATATGATATGTGGACAGATACAAATACTATATTGTACATACATATATATTATATTATATTATATTATATTATAAATGGAGCCTTCAGTTACAGTTATTGTAGTGTACTTTTATTATTTCATAATTCTAAATTCTACCAAAATAATCTGAACAAAATGATTTATCATATAAATTCCCCAAAGAATCATAACTAAACCGAATGGTTCTAAAGTCAGAGCAGCGTCTCTCACGCGCCGTGCTGAATGAAGGGAGGGCTGATGGAAGAGGCTGGAGCTTTTCCGCTGACTGTGTGTGGGGGGTTCTCAGCGCTGGATGGATGGGCCTCGTATGGTGACGAGTTTCTGCGGCAGTATACTTGCTGATTGCTTCGTTCTCACTCCTCACAACAACCAGCTAAGACACTGCCAGAGAAACACTCACAGCAGCCAGCTTCCCCCGCTGCTCCTCTCCCTCCTCTTCTCTCCTCTTCCCTCGCTCGCTCTCTCTCCTCTTCCTCCTCTGTATCCTCCATTCGCTCGCCCTGAGAGAGCCTTCTCTCGAGGACTCATTTTGCATATTCATGTCCTACTTCTTGGAAGCTCCTGCGCCAGAAAGCTCAGGATTTTTCCTTTCTGAGCTGCCCCTCCAAGAGTCCACTCATCTTTCTCTGGAAGTTGCTGACACAAATGCATAGATTCCCTTCACTAATTTTGATTCTGCTTCCACTTTCTTGATGATGGTGATGAACGCTCGTCCTGTGAAACGAAAAAAAAAATCATAAAAGTGATCATTTGTGACAACTCTGTGACGTTTGTTGGATGATTAATAGTGATGATTTATAGGAAATTTTAAGGCAGTGTAAAACATACAGGTTGAAATACATTACACAAATAAACATCTGTGACTAATTACCAACAACATGACTTTCCAAGTAAATCATGTGGCTGTGTGTGAGGTCACTGGTCAGTTACTTCCTTCAACTTAACTTTATATGACCCATTTTATAAGTATCATAAAAATGAATAGTTATACTGTAGTAGATAGTAATTATATGTAGCAATAAAAACAGTTACAATAGTAACATTCATAAAATATATATTAATATATACATGTTATATGATAAAAAATAAGATACAAAATAATAAAAATAATAATAATAAAGGAACAACCAATGTAGAAGAAACCTGAAGCACACAATTCCATACAGCTGAGCTGAGAGAGAGAGAGAGAGAGAATGAGAGCAAGAGAGCGAAAGAAAAAAGGGCATGAGAGTCAAAGAGAAAGAAAAGATGAAGAAAAAGAGAGGAGAGAAAAAGACAACTAAAAGAAAGATATAAATAAGACAGAGAGAGAGAAATTGTGAGAAAGTGAGAGAAAGAGAAATAAAGAGGGAGAGAAATTAAGAAAAAGAGAGAGAGAAGGACAGAGAAAATGTGAGTAAGAGTGAAAGAAAGAAAGAATATGAAAGACAAAAAGAGAAAGAAAGAGAAAAGATGAAGAAAAAGAGAGGAGAGAAAAAGAGACAAACAAAAGAGAGATATAGATAAGAGAGTGAGAGAGGAATTGTAAGAGTGAAAGAAAGAGAAATAAAGAGAAATGTAGAAAAAGCAAGTGAGAAAGAATTAAGAAAAAGAGAGGGAAAGAAAAAAATGAAAAAGGGATATAAATAAGAGAAATTGTGAGAGAGTGAGAGAAAAGAGAAATAAAAAGGGAGAGAAATTAAAAAAGAGCAAAAGGGAGAGAGATAGAGAGGCAGGGAGAGAGAGAGAGAGAAAGAGAGAGAGACATTGCCACACCTCAGGGGAGCTGAGAGCACCTTTGTGCTGTGTAAGCTGTGGACTATGATCATCCACAAACCAAAAACCATGACTCACTTGTTTGCAAATAAAAGCTGGTTGAAGAGGTTCAGCCTACATTTGCCTTTAAGAAGGCATTAGAATAAGCGTGCGAGTGTGTTTGTGTGCTGTGTGTGTCTGTGCGTGTAGGTGTTTGTGAGAGAGACAGCTTGTACGAGTATGTCATAGGAGTGTGAGAGGGAGAAGGAGTAGGCCGGCCTGTGATTAGCTCCGCGCTCGCGGAGGCAGTGTTTCAGGCTTTATCGGCCGGTATTCCCCACAGCTGGGTTATTTTAGGCAGCCTGCCTCTCTCCTCGCGGCCCTGGCAAAGAGACGGGCCTCACAGCTGATAGGAGCGCGCCCTCGGATGGAGTGGGAGAGAGTGAGTGAGTAGGAGAGAAGAAAGGACAAGAAAGAGAGACAGAGAGAGAGAGAGAGAGAGAGAGAGAGAGAGGAGGTGCTGCCAAGGACACAACATGGCCCAGCGTTATGATAAAGCAGAGCTCAGTGTGACTTAGCCCCCACAGTCATAGTCACAAGCTCCTAAATCCCACACTGAGAAGGCGAGGGGCTGTATAGCACAAGCCCGGCCTCCGGTCTGCTGTTACAAATGCCGACGTTTCAATCGGAGGCTTACTTACATACTCCAGAATGGCTTTCATTGTGCTTAAAGCAATAAAATGTACACAATTTTCCCCTCACTTCTAATGGAGTTAATTAGCAAAGACTAAGCTGGCTTCTTCAACACTGGAGCTACAAACTCTAATGCCACTAACTAGCAGTAGAGGCTTATGACCATCAGTTAGCATTGTGAAAACTGCATGCTTAAATTACTTATCTTAAGCAGTGTCAAGCTGAATCTCAAAGGAAATCTCAAATAGACCAGCTTATGTGTTTTCTGACAATGCATGACATGCTGTTGTCTTTTAAAATGGGCTATAGGGGGAAACCGTATGCTAATATAGCTAGAAAGTAATGTTAGCTTTTGGCCACCGCTTAGCATTGTACCTATTAAGAGGGAAGGGAACCATATAGCACAAGCCTGGCCTCCGACCTACTGGTACAGACACCAACATCAGTAAGCAGCTTACTTACAAGCTTCTGAAAGACTTGCATTGTGAAGCAATTCATTAGCAAGTGACCTTATTGCCTATCATAAAAGCCTGCTGCTTATAATTCTTCAGTCTTTGTGAGTTAATATTTTATTAGCTTTCAAACAAGCATGAAATACATAGCATCTACAACACATACACAGAGACGTGGATAACGAGGCTAGCAAGTACTGTAAGCATATACCACCACCACCACCAAAAAAAAAAAAAGATAGAAAGAGAGGAAACCTGCAGACCTATATTGGAAGCTAGTACACAACATAACCCCACCACCAATCAGACTTCCATCAACTCATACAGCTAATGATTCCTCAGTCTTTGAATGATCAATTGAATGATAGAAACGGTGAGAAAAAGGACGGCTGTACATTGTTTGAGCTCCGTGTCTGAGGTAGCGTACCGTGCTGGACAGTCTGGCACCATCCATGCGCTTTTATGACAGCTGCTGATACAACATTCCAGGGGGCTGATGTGTTATCTGTGCCTGAGCAAACACACCTGTAATTAGGAGGCTATTTCAGTCGCGGTTCTGCCCTGCGCGCCGCCTCATTCGAGTATTGCTTTAGCCGGGGGTTGAGGGGGACGACTGAAACTAGGTGAGGCGTCTTTGTTCTTGGCTTGATGGAGCAGTTTAACGTGACACTTTTGTGAAAAATCACCAAGAGCCGAAGCAACGAGGCTAATGTAGTATATAAGCAACCAAAGCTTGTGCAAATCAGTTGGCACTGTGCAAACCACGTTCCTAAGCCATCAAACATTTGCTAAGTTGTTATGTAATCTTGGACAGAATGTTACCTGACACTGTTTGACATACTGCCATCTATAAAATCTGATTTGTAGCTGAACTGTCCTTCTCCGCCGCAGCAACTAGCTTAATTACAGTTACAGGCATAAAAGAGATCAGAGAGCTCTAAATGGGAATTTATTTCCCTCATTGTTTAAGCTTTTTGTTTCGCAAACTAAAATAAAATATCAGTCTTTTATTCACCTTGTAACTGTGACACGCTCTGTTAAATGTCAGACAGATGGCTGTTCATCCTGACGTTCAGTTCCTTTTTCTGGATTTCATGGCCAGGTAGACAACCCGTCGGTCCAGCCGTGCCAGGTGTGGGCTCCTGCGTCATATGACATCACTGTCACCTCTGTACACACACTTACAGGCAGAGATGTTTTGACTAGAAAAACATGTAAGAGGACATCACACTTCTTAAATCACATCTGCATCACCGGTTGCTTCTGTCTGGCGCCCTGTGTGCAGTTAAACCCCTGAAGAGCCCGACGTACAGCTGTTCGCACCACTGGTCAAATTCTATATTCTGTTGATTTTCTAACTGAAAGCAAGTTAACACATCCTCCACGGGGAACATATTTAACATACAGGAGAGGAATAATACATAAAACATTGAACGTGTCATGGCTCTTGTGCAGGCCACATTATATATTTTTTAAAATGTTAAATTCAGTTAATAAAGAAGTGTGTTGTCTGTATAGGATATGCACTTATTTTCATAAAACATAAAAATGTAATTTGAACAGGAGATCCCAAACCTTTGCACACGACTGTGTTATTCAGTTAGCAGCTATCATACTTATCAAACCTAATGTCTCCTTAGTGATATTCATAATTATCGTAGTGTATATAATTTTTTAGCACACTGTAAAAAGTGGCTTGTCAGTTCTACCTAAAAAAAAATGATTCATCTGGTAATAAGCAATTGAACTAGTTTTATTCAACTCAAAAAACTACACTGATTGAAAGAATCATTCATTCAAAGTATTTAGGTTGAATAAAACTAGTTAATTTACTTGTTACCACATGACGTATTTTTTAGGTTGATCTGACGAGCCACTTTTTACAGTGGAAAACAATGCAAAGTGACTGTTATTCTTAAATTTACAGAGAGAGAAACAGACATCTGGAGCTGTCAGCAGGTTCTGGGCCATTTAAATGTTTAAAATCTGTCCCCCGAGTGGTTGGGACATGTGCATATCCACATTGGGCACAGTGAAATGGATCAGCATGGATCAGCAATTGGAGCTTTCTGGGTGCTACTGTGTTTTCTATCACTGTATAAAAGAAGCATGATGCTGCCTTTATAGTTGGATGCACTGTGATAGTTTGTGCCCACATTCAGAACGGGATTCAGATTACTAAGGGCTCATTATTCATTAGATTCATCAAAGTAATGACTGATGTGTGAAGTATATCCCTACTCAGTCTTGCTTGTTCAAAATTGTAGATTGTGACGAAAAAAAAAAAAACAAAAAAAAATTAAATCCACAAATGTTCAGCTTCGGTAGACGACATTCAATCATTCATTTATATACAAGTGTGAGATTACTCTACTACAGTTGGTACCTTAGAAGTACTGAACTTAGCTATCCAGCTCTAGATATTGTTGAATAACAGTGCATTAGAAGGTAGAAATAGCTGCTTTTTGGCTCAAGACTAAGAGGTTAAAGTGTTAAAGGTGCATTGCTGGATAGTTTTCCAGAGCCTGAGCTTAGTCATGTAAGTAAAGTGGACGTGAATGGCATAATAGCACACTAAAAGACACATCATCCTCATAAACACACACACTAACAAACCTATCGTGCCCATAAAACACTCATTCCCTGCCTGATGACTCATAGGTGGAACCAAATGCTGAATGTAAACAGGATCTGTCACTTTTTATCTGAAGTCCAGTTCCTCAGCAGAAAGGAAAAGAACGGCAGTCGTGGTTTCGCCATGAGCTAATAAAACTTTACAGTACTGCAAGTCAGAAACCACCCTGTATGTATTTTTTTTTCCAATTATTCATTTCACAGGAGATATTTCCGAGGAGATTTGATATAAGGAACTTGCATAAGGAAGAGGAAACCCAAGGTGAAAAAACAGAGTTTCCAAAACTGGAGTTCAAAAAGTTCTTAAACGATTTAGAGATATTGGGATTCCTACCAACCAAGCAAGACCTGATAGACCAACAAAACACCATCAGATAAACAATAAAGCTTTCATCTTTGACAAAGAAAATCAAGCTATGAGGATGTGTAGCTGTCAGGAAGCCCTCACTGAGAAAAACTAAAATTGAAAATAAAATAAAGAAGCTGCTGGTGTTCCTAGAACAATTAACCCTCCACCAAGAAAATGCAACCAACTTCTAAGACTGAATTTTGGAGGTGTGGAAAAATGTCCCTGCAGAATTCTTTCAAAAACTGAAAGCAAGTCTGCTGAAAAGAATGAAAGCTGTAATTAAGGTAAGGAGTGGACACACTAAATACTGAAAAATGCGATATTATATTCAGTTGTTGAGGCCTCTGTGTAATTTTCTGTCCTGACGCTGTACTTAACGAATATAAATACATAAAGGAAGCTCTCTAAAACACAGCACTATTAGCCTTCACTAAGGCATGAGTGTACACACACACACACACACACACTTGTACACACACACACAAACACCTCGTGATGCTGTTTCTGCTGCTCTCGCTAAATTGCAGTGTGCTGTGTCCCTGCGTGTGTCTCGTGAGGGAGACCGGCCACATGACGGCAGGAATTCCTCACTGCTTTGGGCCTGATGTAATCCCTAATACAGGCTTTCAGGAAGTAGAGAGGGAAAACACGCGACTGCCAGCTGGCACACCCTGCCGTGTGTGTGTGCATGTCCTCACACCTCTGACACACTTCAGCTCCAGGGCAGGCAGGTGCCACTTTCACTCAGACTCAGATTCATATCGGTTTTCGCAATAATAAATAGATATAGAAGATGTTTAGAGTGCTGGGGCGTTGTCCCTATTTCCCTTGAACTTGTTCACCTTCAGCGGTGCAAGAGTGACACTATATTGACCGTATGTAAGGATCTAGTGTCTGACCGTTGAAAATAAAACCCCTCAGGAGAAAAACCCCTTTACATTAAGCTGTGTTGCTTTTTTTTCCTTTCATGCTGTGAGCATGCTATGTCCTTTGCTTCCCATTTCCTAGAAAAAGGAATCATCTTGTTTTGCATTTTCACAGTTGTATGCAAAGGTTTGGGTGCCTCTGGTCAAATGACATTTTGTTGATTTTATATGTGAAATAAGTACACTGTATTATATATTAGAAAAAAATAAAACATGAAATGTATCCTGTGAAAAAAGTTAGGGTAAAAGTCAAGATAACATATTTTAAGTTTTATTTGTTTTCCAAAAAGTTAAACTGAGCAAAAAATTTATTTTTAAGTTTGTTTAATATTTAAGAGGACGTGTTAATGCATTTTCACTTAGAAAATCAGCAAAACATATAATTTGACTGGGGGTGTTTAAACTTATACACTTGTATATACAGTTCTGTGCAAAACTGTTAGGCAGCCATGACAATGGTTTAAAACTATTTATCTGTTTATCAGTAAATGTGTTTCTGCCAGTAAAAATCTATATTAGCCTTCTTTAGAAAAAGCAATCTGTTACAAAGTAATGACTTCTCTTAAACTGTAACAGGGATCTGAAATAAAAAGTTCAAACAGCACTTTCTGTGCTCGCACTGCGCTGCTCATTTTCACAAAGGCCCGCAGTCAGCTGCTGTAGGGAGCACACGCACCATATCACCAGCATGGATAATCTATATGATGCTTTCATTTCATCGTACTCCGTTATTTTTGTTCTTTTTAAAGGCCTGTATCTTTATTTTTTTCTGTTTATAATATTTGTGTAATTTTATGAACCATAAACAAACATAATTCACTTTTACATGATCATTTTCCAACCTCTCTTTATTCCTTAGAATTAAACAGGCTGTTTTTGTCACTGTCTTTATGACTGATATATGTAAAAAGCCTCTGTTCTGATTGGCTGCTCTGTATTTGGACAATCTTGGCTGGAACACTCCTTATAACTTCAGCATGGATGGGCAAAGATAAACTGCTGGTGGCTAAATACATGGATATATCTAATTATGTTTTTTTGTTTGTGAACAAAAACAGTAAATTGAACACATGCTGTTTTTTACAGGTTATTTTCCATATATGGGCTGATTGGAGTGGGGAGTGAACATATGTTTTGCAATTTTAACAAGGGGAAAAGTCCTTGATATGGAGTCCAGTTTTTCAGGATATCAGCCCTTAAAGGCATGATAAGCATAAGTAATTATTATTTTTTTTAATTCAGTAATTAATTCAGTAATAAAGTCAGTAATTGTAATGTGATTACAAAATTTAAAGTGTAGCACATTAGTAATCATGTTACTATAACGTGTTACTTTGTACTGCATTACTCTCAACACTGGTAAAAACTCTAAATAACATTAAAATAAATACAAATAAAACAAGATTAAAAAAACAACAAGAATTATTTTGTTATTAATGTTGGTTAGATGAATACAGTTAGACTTCTCATCGCACTCCAGCCAGTCCATGCATTTGTTAAATTCCACCTGATTAAATTTAGTGAAGGTTTGATTATATAAATTAAGTATCTGATGGTAACTGTAAATACTGGACTCCTCAAGAAGAGCTTGGAAATAGTTAAGATAACACACTGACAGACATTTTATTGTTTATTTGTATTTGTTCTAATGTGTTTTTTAACAAATAAATGTACACTGTCCAGATAAATGGCTTTACATATCTTGTAAGAGGCCTAAGTACTGTAGTTATATATCACTGCTGTACTTCAAATCTCCAAAATGGTAACTTTACAGGAAAAAGAAAAAACTTTCTTAACATTAAATCAGTTAATGGAACCAGATTTTCCTCAAGTCATTTTGGAGCTTTTCTATTTTCTATTCATTGTGTAATTTCAGCATGTTGTAAAGAGCAGCTGGCATTTTCAAATTTTATAAAAAAAAGTACAAAAGAACCAACATGGAGATACGACACCACGATCTGGGTCAACAGGTTTGAGGATTGTACTTCCGATGTTTCTTCCGACGTTTAACAATAACAAAAGCGTGGCAAAAATGTAAAGAATGTCTTTTCCTTCCCGACAGTAGTAGACAGTAGCATCTCATCATATAAAATCATAATAATAAAATGCTGTCTCTTCTGCTTGAACACACTAATGTGGGACTGATTGAGAGTTAAGAGTCTGAGCATTTGACAACATTTCTCTGCTTGTTTCAATGAACTGCAAATGAGCCACAAAATGAAAATTCTGTTATTTGTATGAACTGTGACTTATAAGGGTTAACATCAGCTGCCACACCACACAAGGGTCACGAATAAGACTGGAAAGATTAGAAGGAATGTAGCAGTAATTTGCTATGAGCTGTTGTGTATGCAATACAGCAGTAAGGTGGGCAGACTGAGGAACTGATAGAAGGATAGAGGGAAGACAGACACACTGAAGGGTAAGTGAGTGTGATAGGATACTCACCTCTGTGTCTGCGCTGGCCTTCTACTCCTGACAAGGACATCTGCTGAAGCCACTGTGGAGGAAGAGTATAGCTGTGATAGCACTCTCTCTCTCTCTCTCTCTCTCTCTCTCTCTTTCACTCTGTCCATTGTACAGCAGCATTCTGACATTCCCCAGACTTAATCATCTTAAAGGGAAAGTGCTGTGGCTAGTCACCTGACAAAAGTTTCATATTAGCTCTTTTTTGTTTTGTTGTCATTTTTTTTATCCTACATTTTTTATGTATCTTCCTTTTATGGTGTTTGAGTATATTTATGTACCAAAAACGGTCGTAATTCATTTTTCCATCCATTTTCCAACCTCTCCTTATTATATAATCATTACAAACAATGTAATGTATATAAGCACCATGCCATAATGCTCCTGAATAAGAACCTTTCTCACTTCCCTCTACTGTAGTCAGTGCACATATGCACTTTAACTTGTTGCAATATACATATTTTATAAATATGTTTTCATATACACTTATATTTATATTTACTGCTCAATTCTTTTAGCTGTACATACTGTATATATGTACCTCAGTACTTGATTGTAGCTTGCAGTTTGTTTGTGTACTGTCTGTCTTTATGTTTATATACAGTGTATCTTTTTTCTATATTTATTTTAATGGATTTATTTTTTATGTTGACACATCGAGAGCAAATCCTTGTACACATTGTTACTCTGATTTAGAATTAAGGCTGTTTTTGTTACTGTACCTTTAAGAGTATGTGTGTCATTCAAAAAGTATTCCAAGCTAAAACACTTATAACTTCAGTGTTAATGGGCGGGGCTAAACTGCTGTACGCTAGATAGGCAGATAGAGTCGTATGCAAAAGTTTGGGTACCCTGGTCACATGACATTTTGGAAGCCATCATAAAATGGCATATTTTATATTTTATGTTCTTTTTTTACAGCATGTTAAGCTCTGAAAATATTTGCTCTTGAGTTACAAGCTAAAACTATGAATTCAGATTACAGGAGGAATTTAAGCTGGAAAAACAGCTTACAATACAACTTCTTAGCACTACAAAATGGAGCGCCACCAAAGAAAAATGAAAGGGTCAAACTAGAATGTTAAAACAGGGGTGCACAAACCTGGTCCTGGACATCTACCACCCTAGAGAGTTTAGATTGAACACACCTAATATTCAAATGCCCCTGAAAGCCTTCATTACCTGGATCAGATGTGTTATAGTTGGAACTAAACTCTGCAGGGTGCTAGATCTCCCGGAGCAGGATTAGGCCTCCTGCCTTAAAACATTCCTTCATAAAAGCAGTGTTTATTCTGTGAGCCTGGGTTGCCCCGAACATACAACTAAACCAAGTTCCCTACAAAACACTACAGGAACTGCAACACTCTGTTCCTAACAGATGAGCTGATATTAAAGGGTCTGTATCCTACAATTTGCTCGTATTTTAGCCCCCATCTCTCTTTATCCCTTAAATAAGTTTTTGTTCCTGTCGCTTTAAGAGTAATATATGTCAATGATCTCTCTTCTCATTGGCTGCCCTGTATTGTGCTTCATTCAGAAAGCTTAAACTCTCCTTATGGCCTCAGTGGGAATGAGGGAGTTGAATAGAAATGTATGTAAATCTGTTGATTTGTGGGGTTTTGCAGCTATATAGACCATAAAGACCAGGGGTGTGAAACTCAACCACTAAAAGGGCCATATTACAAAATCTCAACAAATCCGTTTATTTTATTTTTGCTTAACATTTTGCCACGACCCCAACTGGCTAGTGTTTGTTCAAAATATGCCAAAACTCCAACAGCAAAAAATAGGTACTAAATACTTCAACGAATCAAAAATCATTTTAAATAAAAACAAATTGTTTCATATTAAACAATAGACTACATTAGCTGCAGATAACTGTAAAACATTTTTACATGTCCCCAATGTACAGTTGTACATGTAGGTTTTTTAAACCTGCCCATTCGCTTGAACTAGACACATGGCACCATTTTTGTTTGTTTTGAGCACACATTACGTTGCAGTGCATGCTGGGAACTGTAGTGCAGTTCATGGTGAGTTGGGCTAATATTAATAGAAAATGAAAATAATTTAGCGGGCCGAATAGGATTGTGCCACGGGCCTGACTTGGCCCGCAGGCCTTGTATTTGACACATGGGGTATAGACTATAGAATTAATGGCATTATAAAATGTTGCAAATCTTTACAATTATTTACAAACTCTTTCATTTAAAAAAGCTAGCATAGTTTATTTTTTCAGAATATGGGTCCTTAAATGTGACAAAGCTTTCTTGAACCTGAGTGCTGATGACACCGCTAGATAAAAATAGTTAGTAGAAAAAAGGGCCTGAAAAAAAAAATTAAAGAAGAAAGAAAGCTGGAAGGTTGACACTCTTATACTTCAAATGACTGTCAAGTGAGGACCTTGCTATAGTTCTCAGAGCGAGAGAAGCCTGTAAGGAGCTATCTAGAGAGACAAAGTGCAAACATTGCATTCCTAAACAATATCAGTTTACTCAAGAGACTGTTGATCAATGCAAGCTCTATTTGTAGAACTGGAGAGCATTAATAATTGAAACGCCCCACCTTTCAGCCAGAGCAGTACGCTACTACAAATCTGCAACTGCTCCTGGCAACAACACAGCGGCTTAAAAACTCAAGCATAAAACTGCTAAAAATACAAACTATCATTTCACTGCCACATCAAAACCTCACAACTCTATTTTTTCCCTTTTATTATTTGTTTTACGCAATTTAAAAATACCTGCTGCTCTTTCTTTTGTGTGAATGTGAACAGATGAATATAAATGGTTCAAAATAATAAAATAAAAGTAATAAAATTAATGATAAATTAATGTTAAAGTCTTACAAATGTACCATTTTGGACCTACAGGGTTTTGTTATAACAGTGCCTGTATGCTGACGTACACTACCATTCAAAATTTTGGGATCACTTGCTGTACTTGCACTGTTTAACCAACTATAAAAGAAGCAATATAGATGAATATAGTAATAACACTATTTATAAACTACTTACTAACTATTTACTATTTTTAGATGTTTTATTTAACATTGCAAGAATTCTGAAAGCCAAAAATGACAACAATGACATATAATCTCCTGTAATTATCTATAAACATAAATATTTTGTCAAGTTGTAATCATCGAGATTTGATCTCCACTTATTAATTTTATTATAACTTAATTCTCAGTACTGTACAGCCTCTCTAGTCATTTTACAATATTTTATGTGTGCAATCAACATTTTGAACATGTCTAAAATTTCTTAATTTGAATCCACAGCTTCCTAATGTCCTACTGATTATTTATTATTACTAGCATATTACAATCATTTTATACACTTATCTGCAACAAGATTAGTTTTGTATTATTAAAAACATTGATTCCAACTACTTACTTTTAAGCAGTAGACATATATTAAAAGTGCACGTATTTGATAGGTCAACCTACCTGCTGTGCCTGTGGTCTCTCTGTCTCTCTGTGAACAGGCTGAACCTTCTTTGTGTGCTCTAATGACGATCTGAACTGTGGGTGAAGTTGAGGGGCTTTCCAGTGAAGGGAAGTCCTCCGGTAAACAAGCTGTTGAATTAAAAAGACAAACCACATTCCACGATCACAGCAAGCTCGACTAACCCATCAGCTTCTTTACGACTGAGTGATGGTGATGGAGGGATTGATTTTCTCTGTTCCTCTAGTCAGCACTATTTGTTCGGGGAAGGGAACGTGGGTGGCAAAGGTGACAGTGGGTGTAGAATCACACCCCATGTGAACATGCCAATAACCTCTTATGCTTAGGTGCCGGGCCCAGCGTAAACAAACGCTGAGGTTTAATGACCAAAACTGCTCGGAAAACAATCTCAGACATAATCCTGACTCCTACAACACCTTCCCTGCAAGGGCCTGTATGTGGGTCCACGCTTCAGTTCCACGCTCTTATAACTGCATAACTCTCATACTCGTTTACAGTAGTTACTGAGTAACTCATAGTAGGAAAGAAAAGGTCCTAAGATTAATAACTGAATAATAAAGCATGCAACTTAAACCCATTAACCTCCTGAAAACTGATTAGTGGTGTTATTAAACTTCAAAATATGACAATAAAGCTTAAGTATGAAGAAAAGGGAATTATAAAGACAGTAATTTCTATAAACTATTTGATAGCTACTAGTAACATATATAAACACGTACCTTATATAGTAACTAAACTAAAGTGTGGGCCTATATGCTGGACCCCACTTGAATTCCTCACTCTTATAAGTACTTAATGTACATATTACTTTACCATCAGCCTCCTGAATCATTTATAACAGTTACTCCAGTGTTGGAAGTAATGACTGTATACTAAGAGTTTATAGGGCTAACTACATCAAGGTTTGGAATACTTTAAGCAGAGCCCACTACATAAATCAAAGCATGGCCTTAGTAGCTTTAATATGAGTGAATTCAGAAAATGAAGAGATAGAGAGAGAGAGAGAGAGAGAGAGGTAGATAGAGCCTCAAAGGTAATTACACCTGTGAAACCACACTCAAGTCAAAGTCGCCTACCTCGTCTGAGGGCTGGAAGGCCGTCAGTCCGGTCAGCGCAGATATACTGAGATACCTGTGTTTGTCCAGTATTCCCAGAAAGCAGAAGGTTTGAGCTGTTGTTGTCCTCTCGCCGGGTCAGTGCTGAGTGAAATGCACACAGCTGCTGCTGTTGACCACACGCCAGAGCTCCCTTCAGACAAGCCGGTACAAGTCAAGGCATGTTCCTGTTCAACAGAGCGCCCTCTGCCTCAGCATAGAGGAGAGAGAGAGAGAGAGAGAGCGAGAGAGAGAGAGAGAGAGAGAGAGAGAGAGGAGGGGACTCAGCATCAGAGGTGACGGGACAAATGAGAGGTTTCTATTCTGTGCTATTTTACACCACCTCAACCAAGCACTAAAGTTAGAGCAGTCAAACATGTTCAATGACTAATAACTGCTCTGTATTAGCTGCTCAATTGCTATAGATATATTATATTCAGGGGTATATAATCTAGTTAATATAATTAACGACAACATTAATATATAGTTGTATGCCAAAGTTTGAAAGCACCTGGTCACATATCCTTGTTGACTTTTTAAGTAATAAGAAGTTAACACATCTTCTACAGAGCACACACTTAAATATGACCATTTTCTGCAAGTGTTGATGTTCAATTTCTGTTTATTTGCCGAGTTGAACATAAAAAATATATATGTAAAATATAAAATGTGCCATTACTTTTGCACAGGCCACATTTTATGTTTTATTTTTTTTCCCTAATATGTTAAAATAAACAAATAGACAATAATTTGTAATAAAACATGTAGTGCAGTTGTACCACAAAAGTAGCACAGTTAAAATTTGAATATGTAACTGAAATATACATTATGCTGATTATTTGCTTAATTTTAATCTAGAATAGCAGATCGCTGCTGTCAGAACAAAACCTCGTCTCTCCAAAATGAGCACTTTACAGGAAAAGGAAAAAACACACTTTACTTTTAACGTAAGTCAATGGAACCAGATTTTTTTCCAAGTCATTCTGGGCCGTTTCTTTTAGTCCATTAATCATTAAATTTACACACAATGTAAACGACAACAGGCATTTTCAAATAACGTTATAAACTGAAAAACAGTAAAAACAGAGATACAAGGTTTTGTTCTGACAGCAGCAAAATAGGAATATTGTTTACTCAATGCTACATCCTGTCTTTTAAATAAATATACAAAACCTATACAGTAATTTTTCATGCTGGACAGTTGAGCATTAATTGGCATTAAAGTTAGTTGTACAAGCTTGAAATTTAAGCAGCCTACTTCATTAAAGAGCTTACCTTGCACCCCCTGGTGGCTGGCCTCATAAACATAATGTGAGATTTAAAAAAAAATCTTTACATTAAAATAGTGATGCAGTGGATTCACTCCTCACTGATTCAAATGACTTCATCATTTCCACATATAAAATATGAAATATGTTACATCAAAACAACTTTACCTTTAAGCTGAAATACATCTGGCAACAATCTTGCTGGTGTAGTATACGTGTAAATGATGCACACATTGGAATCAAGTAAGTTCAATCTAGTGTATTTTCTTCCCCTCACAAAAGTGTACAGTTGCAGTTTTTGTAAGCTTTTTTTAAGAACTGTCAAGAGCTTTTGTCACTATTTTATGCCAGTAGGTGAGATATTCTGCCCCACTTTATTAAGTCTCAATCAGGAGATTTCTAAATCGAGATCAAAATGGAAAATTACAGTTATATTACTGTGAAAAAACTAACTTTTTAAAATCATGTTAGAAAATTTTAAAAAAGGACATCTTACTGTTCCTGTATTCTGTGAAATTTATCACAACTGATTCCCATCACTGGCATCAATTCTAGACATTGACTGTTCTTCTGTAATAGAGGCCTACAGTATTGCTGGTTTTTGAGTGCAGCACCCTGGAGAAAGTTCATCACTAGGCAGAGTTACAGTGCAGCAGCACATCTCAGCTCTTTCTCTCTCCCTCTCTCTCTCTCTCTCTCTCTGCAGTCTGGGCTACTGTACAATGCTGAAGTGAGGGACTGCACTGCATCCAAGTGCTCTCATACTGATGACCTTATCAATAAACTGAGTGAATTCACAAAAGCAAGCATTTCCCATTTTCCACTGCCGCACGCTGTTCTGCACCTTGACATTTCTCGCCGTGCTGTGATTTTGTTTCGCCCCTTCGGCCCTTTGCTCTTTCTGTTTGCAAAAATTATGCATTTCGGTGTCACCCCCTCTACCATTACCTTCAGCCATTAGCTGCATGTGGACTAATGGAGTGGTACCAACGCAGATGGGCCTGTGTGTGAGTGAAATGGGGACATTCGGGGGGTCTGTCTCTGCTGGAGTGTGTCCCACTGCAGATAGCCCACTGCACATGTGGCTGAGCGAGCCAGAGGCTGCAGTGGCCATTAAAGCGGGGGGATGGCAGGTGAGCGGCCTACTCTCTGCTGCATTGGAGCTCCATTTTTCTTGAGTCATCAGATCTCGTAACACACAGCCTCAATGCTCCACTGCTTCACTTTGGCTGAAGTGTGGGGGAATTTAAGATGATATAACTGCTTTAACCCCTTAAACTCTAATAAATAATGGGTTCTTTGGAGAAGGAGCTGAACGATTTGTTGAAGATATCTAATTGCAATTTTTGATATTGTAATAATAACAATGTAAATTCCAAATATTTCTGAAGATTAAGATCCATGCCTGTTTTTTGGCCAAGAAGACCAGAAATTCCCTTTTTCTGGCATAAGGCTCTAAGGCCAAACATTCACCAGACTGCTAAATAGTTATGCTTGTGTTGTCACATACACAGCACATGGGTATTTAGTTGGTTCTGATTTCGGATTGGTCTGATTTATGTACACACACCATGGTATTAGGTGAGGTTTCTCCATGTAACGCTTAAGCCAATATTGTTGCTAATGTGGGCTGTAATTAACATGACAGCTCTTGCAAGCTGAAAACATTGCACTGCAATGTTGATGTAAAAAAGAATGATTAATCTTTCAGCCCTACTTTTAAGCAATGCATTAGAAGAACTACTGCTGGTTCCCTAAACAACCTTTCAGTCGATGCATCAAAAATAGAATATCACGATACCTGAAGATGAAATTTTCACCACATGATATGTAATTTTTAATTTTTCTTAACTACAGTTAATGCACTAAAAGAGTAACATTTAAAAATGCTATTAAAAATGAGTACAATCATTTTTTTTAATGTTTCACATATTGCAGAGCACTAAATACAGTTAAACTGACCTAATTATGATCTCTTTGTAACGAAACATGCAGTCGTTACCCACAATATGCTCAGCAAAGTGTATTATGGTGGAATTTTTTAGGATAGTAATAACTATTGTCATATTGCCTACCATTGCTTTAGTGGATTGAAGAACGATTGAACTGTTATAAATGCGATTTGTGAGTGTGAAAACTCTTTTTTAAGGTCTGAAGAACCACCAAATGATATAAAAGCTCTACCAGTTTTCCTTAGAACCATATGTCCGAGCCAAAAACCACTTTAATTGAGATCGTAATAGTAGTTGCTCGCTTTAATAATAAAAAACCTTAAAATTAACGACTGAATAGTAAGCATGGAATTTAAGGGGTTAACTTTAGTGATAGTTCATAATGAATCTATGTACAGATCAACGATGTGTACTTTGTGAATATCACTTAGCCAAGACTAACTGCAGCGTGCACAAATTCCGACTTCATCATAAACCATAAAGTGGGTGAACGGTCTTCGCTGGCTGTTTTTTATCAATGAGGAAAGAAGTCAGTAGGGGACATGCGAGGAATCCTTACTACAGCAAGTTCAAAGCTTGCTGCATTGATTACATCATCGGATCTGGAGCACTGGTACGGGACAATGCACCATTGGGGGGGTGGGGGGAGTTGGGGGGGGCAATAGGGTAATCAGGCTAATCTCAGTACACGCTCTCTCTCTTTGGAGTCCCATGCACAGACAGAGGGCATACATACTCTCTCTGAGCTGCCAAACTCAGCAGCAGTGCCATGCAGGAGCAGCAGAAACCTTTCTCTCTCTCTCTCTCTCTCTCTCTCTCTCTCTCTCTCTCTCTCTCACTCTCTCTCTAGCTCACTTGCCCGCTCCTGCTCTCCTCAGCGCTCCACGTGACTGCACTGCTGCTGCCTGTGTGTGCTACTGCTACAGCAGCCATGCTAGCCCAGCACTGCAGGAGCTGTGCTGCAGGACACTGCAGGAGAGCCTCTCTCTCTCTCTCTCTCTCTCTCTCTCTCTCTCTCTCTTTCTGTATCTGCTCACGTGGGATGGAGATAAGAAAAGAAAAAAAAAGAAAGTGCTGTAGTCTTTTTTTCTGTGTCTGGAAAAAAATTACACTCTGCACAGTGCAAACATGCTCACATTGCACTGTACTGGGCAGCTGCTCTCTGGAGAGGTAGAAAGAGAGAGCAAGATTAAGAGAGAGAGAGAGAGAGAGAGAGAGAGAGAGAGAGAGAGAGCAGAGAACGATGGGACGGAGAGGAGGAGGAGGAGGAGGAGAAGGAAAAGAGGGGAGGGTGCAGAAAACGTCAGGTGAGTGCGGCACTTTGCTTTTTGGCTGTGCAGCAGAAGCAGCAGCAGCAGCAAACCACCCCCACCACACACCTCCCTCCATATATACCCCCCCAACCCCCCCAACCCTCTTCAGTGAGGAGCTGGAGAAAAGCTGCAGTTTCTGCTAATGATGTCAGGCTGTGAATCTGACAGTGATGTATGGCCCCTCACATCCGTCCTGTATATACATCTAAATCCTGTTCCGTAGCCCGTGAAGCTGAGGATGGAACTCATCATCAAAGTGCTCACTGTTGCTAGCATACGTGTGCAAGTGCGCACACGGCTAGAGAGCACTTTGAATGCAGTCAAACTACAGGCGAAAACCCTGGACAAAACTGGAATTAACTCCACGAAAGCATGCCGGACAGGCTACATATGTTTTGCCGTGTTTTACACAGATAAGAGAACAAGGTAAGATAAAGTCCTGTAGCATGGAAAGCCTTAGGAGTCTATAGATCTATAGATAACCCACAATACCATTCTAACCCCCCCCGACCCTCTGCACCACCACCATTCTCTAGCTTTCTGTGCACACTTTTTAGCGAGGTGATGGCGGGACAGTTAGCAACAAGGCTAAAGTGACTGATTACAGAATAAAAGAAAGGCTGTGCTAAGTTAGTCACAATGTATTGGCAGCAGGTCACCACCACAG